TTAATGGTTAATATATGTTAATATTATTAATATTTGGTAACCAATGGTACTGAACTTTCGGAACTGGATTGCAATTTGGTTATTTGGGTTAGCAGGGGGATGGAATTACTTTGGGTAAAATTCATTCCTCGAAAAAGCTGGTGATGACACGGGATTTTGAAACACATCCCGGGATTTTCACCGTGAAACCTGAATGGTTAACCATCAAACATCAGGACTTTAGCAAATATCGGCATCAAATACTTGGGATGTGGGTCATGGATGATTCTCCCTATAATTTCAAAAGGGGCTGTGGTGAACTTTGGAGTTATGAACTCAAACGTAGGACTCAGAACATGTCGCATTTACAAAAGGCTATTATTGGGCTGTATCACGTAGTATCTCTAATATCAAATATTCTCTGATGCTGGCGGACCGGCAACGTCATGACACCCCAATTCATTTGCCTGGGCAGAGCCAAACGATTCCTAAACAGGGCGTGTTTGCTATATTTCCCTAAAATGAGGGGATTTTCCTAACATCATCCATATTTTTTTGGGATGCTTCCCCTAACCGCTAAGCAGCCCTCATTGATGGGCGACATGCTTCCGGGACATCTATAGACGAGTACGGATCAATGGTTGCTTGTGTCTCCCATTCATTATATATGGCATGTTATATCATATTAATATACACGATTTTAAACAAACATATATATATGACATTATAATAGATCATAATTATACATAATTATTATACTTCCCATCAACAAAAAAACACAGGACGCCCTAAAGATCGGCACCCGGGTCTCTTCCAGCATCCCCCGCCTGAAAGGGCGAGGATTGCCGGCCCAATTCCACCTCTAGCTGAGCAATGCGCTGCTCTGCATCATGCAGTCCACGAAGCAGGTCCTTGTTGGCCTGTTTCAGCCTGCGGTCCGCTGCCCTCAGGAAGCTATGGTCCAGTTAGTCCCATGATTTACTTTGAACATGGTGATATTTTTGAGATATGTTAGTTTATTAGAGGGTAACTGCTGCACCCATGGAATTTGTTCAAAGCTAAACTGATTGGATTCAAATCGCTCATTTCTATGAGTGGCAAGTAAACACATAAAACAAAACCGGCACATAGATCCAGCTAAACCATCAGCAAATGGGTGTTTCATAATCATCCAAACAGAGACTATTTGAATCTATTTTTGGATAGACACCCAATTTGGGAGGGACCCAAATGAAATTTTGATGACCAACAAATGGGAATTTAACAAGAAACAATAGGTACATTAGCATGTCTGAACATGGGACATACCACCCAATTTGCCAGCTTAATAGGTGCAATGATGATTGGCCATTGGATTTAGCGGTACTTCATTTTAAAACGAACCTCATCATATAATTGTTTGGATTGGTTTGGTATGGGAATGTTTTGAGAATTATATAATTATAGCACAGGAACATGTCCATTTATCAAGATGCGAATTATCGCACCTACTACTGCCAGTATTTGTGGTGTGCTAGCCACCAAAAAAAAATCATTAAACTTACGGGGGGTTGGGGTTGGGGGTACACAGCCAATTATGTGGATTGAACATGATTTAGCCAACAAATCAGGACCTATGGAAGCTGCTGTGTTGCAACGAGAACTTGTCTTCCTTCAACCTTGGCTTGATGCGGCTGCTCAAGCGATGATGTGGTCAGAAGCAGCGCTTCGGCAGCCCGTGTGGCTGCGATTTGGGATGGGCATTGCGCCATTTTGGCTGGCACCAGTCCCCTCAAGTTTTTCTTTCGCTGGATCTAGGCATCATCATCATCATCATCACCATCGAAGCAACAATGGAAGTTTCAACACCGGGATTCCCCACACAGTAACCAGGAGAAAGCGGCATTTTACACGATGCAAACTTTAGACAAGCAAACTGAGGAACATAGCATAGCCAGTGCATGGGTATGGAAACACTTCCGTATTTTAATGATCTGGGAGATTCCAATATGTCATTGATAATGTTTGGCAAAAAAACACATGTCCTTCTTGCAAATGGCAAATTGTTCCATCATGTTCGATCCATATATGGGTATGGGTCAATACCTATAGATACATTTTTAGTGGGATGAGCATCCATTTACCAGAATAGCCGAACAGCCCTTGGCCTTTTGAGCTTATCTTGTGTCGATGCATGCACTGCCTGGAAGCTGTGCAGGGTTTGCGGCAAACATTTTCCGTTCATCATAGGGAACTTCACCAATTTGACCATGCAAACTGACATCATTCTGAGATTTTAGGAGTGGGGATGCCAACCATTCGCCCCATATGACAGAACATCTATCCACAAAATATGCATTCAACAAATCTCCCGCCAGCTTGGATTACCAGAGGCTACAGCCCCAATTTTCCCAATGAATACCTGGATTTCTCCTCAGCTTTCCTGTTACAATGGCCGTAAAATATGGGGTATTCCCATTTTTCCCGTCAAAATTTTCAAACTTTCTTTGTGAACTCCGAATTCTTCCCTGTTGAATCCCCAGATTTGCTTTGTGGACTCCCCATTTCTGCAGGCAAACCCCGGCATGTTTGATGGTTAAGTCATCTTAATTATATAACTCTCTCGTATGGTTTGTTGCTAAAAGCATCTTAAAACTCTCATTTTCATGAAATTATCACGTCCCGCAACTAACATAGACCCCAACTACAGTAATCCCCCAGTTTTGAGGGACAAACATGTCTTCCAACCCCCTACTCATGGCAGTGTCCCCATTTTTGTTGGTTAATTCCCCTTTATGCTGGTTGTTTGATAGGGATTCTCGCTTCATGTGTAATTCATGATATTCAACCATCATTTATTTTGGTTCTATCATGTTTTATCCACCTATAATATACTATATACCCATGTTTTCATGGTCAAGCATCCCCCATGAACATCAACCCCTATTAAATGACGATAACACCCCTATGAAATGACTACAAACCCCTATTATTGTGAAGTGCCTTTAAGCCTACAGTACTTCGAAGGATTAAACGAAACAAAAAAAACGAAAACTAAGGCGAAAGAAAACCACACAACTGTTTGAAGAAACGCAAAAACGAAAACAAAACACACAACAATTTTGAAAAAACAAAACGAAAGCAAAAGAAAAGCAACACAAAAAACAATTCCAGTATACATTTATATGTGGCCGCTTTTTGCTTCCGCATTTTTGTTGTTTTTTGCCATTCTTTTGTTTTTCGCTCTTTTCACTTTTTCGCAGGTGACCTAGTGACCCGGATCTTTGAACATGTAAAAAACCTGAGGAACAAAAACAGAAAAAATACAACAAACAAAACAACAGCGAAGAAAGAGCTTTAAAAAGTCAAAAAAAACACATATAAATGTATCAATTGGATTTGCTTTTTACTAGATTCTGAAAGTTGACATTTTGATGATCATATATCCACATATGTCCCCGTGTGTCCACATCAATCATCCGCCTGCTTTTCGAAGAGGTCCGTCTGCAGAATCGCCGCCGCCTCCTCAAAGGAACGTCCTACGGTAGTGCCGGACATGACGGGTGGCATGGAATGATTGGGGAAGCATTTGCGGATGGCTTTTACCAACGATTTATGGTAAGTTTTTGGAAGGGTTTAGGGGAATGTTGCTGATCTATTTGGTTTAATTAGTTGCGAACACTTAGAAGTGTTGCAATAGTTTTTCCATTACATATAAAAAGTTTTTCCATGGGAAACTTGTAACTGGAAACTATGATCACCGTTGTCATTCAAGGACTGCAAGGCCCGATCCAGAAACCTGGGAATGTGTTCAAAATAAGGATGAGGTAAAGGTGATATCATGAGATATTAATAATAGTGATTACTGACAATAGTGATACTATTACTAATCATAGAGATGATCTGTCTGTGATATAATAGTGATTACTATGTCGTGTCGTGATATAACGATGAAGATATTGGTAGCAATGCGATTCGATATACTGCTATAGGAATATCTCATCGTTAGCAATCACTATTGTATCATTAACAATATCTCTTTTGGGCAAAACAAGAATGATAACCATGATAGGGATACATCACCAACAATATGGTTTGGGTTTCAGACAAACCCATGCGGTACAAGATATGATCTACGTACTATCAGGATACATATACCATGTACCATTTCTGGATTGTTCCTATCAATTCATGCATGTATGCATGCATGCATGAATGCATGGATGCACGGAATGCCCGTAATGCACTTAATGCACAATGCACCTGATGCACATAATGCGCGCAGCATGGTTCAGAGGAATATGACAACCTGGCAAATGATGTCGAACTCAGTTCGAAAGAGAGACCTTATACCGAAGCATGGTGGTGTTCAAACAGAGTAACCACCAATACAATATTTCATGGGCTTGTCTAAAGACAGGTAACCCATTTCATCCACGGCTTAATCATCATTGCACCTTTAAAAATGGACACACACACACCCACACACACACACACATATATATATAGGGATATACATGGATGTACCACATTTTCAGACAAATCCATGCGCATACAAATACCTAAACGTCACCTCAACGGCGATCTTCCTGTTCTTAGCGGTTTTTTGCTCTCCTGCCATCTGCTCGCGTTTGAGTTCAGGGCGGTGAGCGAGGTACGCCTGCGTTGGTTCATAGCCCCCGAAAGGACTCCAGGTATATCTACAATAACAATCCATAAATCGAACTAGCTAGCTATGAGACACCATCTTGTGAACTAGGAAAACTTAAGGTCATGGAAAAAAGGAAAAAACTGTGATGCGATGTGATAACTAATAACATATATTATTGGTCTGGCCAAACAAATTGTATTCGCCACACATGTAGGTCATGGGATCGATTCCCACACGAATCATCACTCTCTGAGTAAGGTTGGCTATAGGTTGAACCGCTATTGCTTGTCCAAATACAGTGATTGTCTGGTGGTTTAAAACCCAACTTGGATTGAAACATATTGAAACTATCTACCGGAAGCCTGGACCGCGGGTCGACCACCCTCTTTTTAACGCAACTGAGCAGAAGTCACAAACAGCTCACTGTGATGAATTGAGACGAAAGACTCCTTGGATGACTTGTCGGTGGGTTCATCATGGTTCCCATTTCTGGTGGCTTCTGGCGGCCCGGAAACGCAGAAATGTCACTTGGGACGTCCCATGTGTGATGAAAAACACGGATATCTAGTGACCAATAGGGTGGCCAATGTAAGCATTCCTAAGATTCGTGATTCTTAGCTGGGTCCCTCTCCCTGAAGCCCATCGTTCCAGGTCCAGAGTAATGCTCCCAACTTTCCATTGAACAAACACCGACTGTGGATTAGTTGTTCTGCAAGGTGTTCTGAACGACATGTCGAACAAATGCTAACAATGTCTTAAACAAAACAGATTGCGATAGCATGATAAATCCCGTTTTGATTCTCGGATCTTAGGCAATGTTTTACATCAAATGAAATAAGATAATATATCATGATCATTCATGATCCATGATGGCCGAAAGGCAGGCCAAAAAATCCCATGATTCGTGTGGTCGATTCCTGCGGGCTGCCAAGAAACGACGACCGCAGCCCCTGAAACACGGCGAACAACAACCAAAGTAGAAAAAGTGACCGAATATTTGGCTGAATGATTCCTAATATGTATCTGGATGTAGCGAGCTATTTTAAAACCCTGCAACACTTCCACAATTAGACGCAGAAGATCTATCATCACCTTCCACACTAAGATTACCCCAAGACCGAGTAAATCACCTCTTTCCTGACAATTCCACAGCATGTTACTGCTTGTATCCAATCATATCCCCATCATATCATTCTACCACCATTTTATCCCCTTGAATGGCACCTTATCATCAAGCAAGCAATTTATCAATGATCTTCCCTTATTTTTGATGGTTTAAATCCCACATTTTTAGTGGTTAAAGTGGTTCGATCCGATTGTTTAGTGCTCAAATCTCAGTTTTAACCAGTGGCATCCTTGTTTTTGATGGTGAAATCCGTTTCCCGCCATTTCTGGCTTTACCCGGATGACGGACGCCCAAGTTTCTGAAGACTTTTCGGCAGCTCATAGTCCACCGGGATGGGCATTCCACCTGGGTGGAATACGATGTACATGACATAGATACTATATCATACTACATCTATACATCTATCTATCTATCTATCTATCTATATATATATATCTATAGTCTCTTATACATAACATATACATAAATCAACATAAATTTATGGTTCTACGGTGACTCAACCGAAACCGTGGATATGATCAACAAGGCAGTGACGTGTCAATGGCATATGATGATTATGATGAGGACAATTATGGTTGATATGACTGTATCCATACTCATTTCATAGATCCTCATGTCTGGTGGACTCACCTACGCAAAAATAGACTGTAAAGCATCTTCAAGAAATCCAGAAGCAGAAATGGCGGATGCACACCAATCATAGTAACACGATTTGAAAAGTAGATTCTGAGCGTATGATTTTCTGATTACTCATCCAGTTGTAAGTGGGACACCCGCTTTTGACAAGGCTTGAGTATATACTATCCACCCGGCATTTCAAAATTACCAATTTGGGGTTATTCAATGACTATAAACCAAGGGATACAATGGTCACTTTGAATGGCCTCTGGTGGTACATCTCCAAAATTTCTGTCGACAACATCATGTGACAACTGGCCCATTCATCTTCAAAAAACGACTATGGGTCAATATGTACCCTGGCACAAAAAAATAAACATCAAATCATAGCTGGGATTTATGGATGGTAATTTGACACAATTTAACCCATCCCCATACGAAAAACACCCATATGAAACGGGGGTCATCTTCCCTTCGTTCTAAATCAAGGCACCAAGCGTAAGACGTTGAAGGTTGCTGGGAAGCTTCACCCTCTTGAGACTTTGACAGAAATCACTCCCCAGCCTTAAACCTCGGTGGTGAAATCTGTCAAAACATGGGGGATTTAACCAACAAGTATGAGAGTGAAAATGAGGACATAGTGTAAGCATTTTTAAGCATGGTTTAGGGTCCATCTTTCGGTATGTTGGAAGTTCTTTTGGTAACTGTCAGTATCCTTTTTCGTATGTCTTCGTAACTTTTGTCATCTTTAGAATCTTTAAGCATCATTTAGCGCCTTTTTGGTAGCTCTTGGTGCCTTTTTACATCGTTTTGTATCTATGAGTATCCTTTAGTGTTTTTTGTCGTAATATTCGCTTAATACTATTTCGGTATATTTTAATATCTCTTTGAGTATCCAATGACAACTTGGGATCTATAGTGCACAAAAAGTAAGCAGGACAACATCTAATTGTTATATAATTGTAAATATATATATATATAATTTTTGTATATGTGTATTATATAATATATGGCCATTTCAAAACATGGGCAAGCTATCGAATCCAAGCCTCTTTGCTTGGGAAAAAACACTTCAGTTGGAGGTGTAACTGTCAAACATCAGCTTGAATTTGGGAAAAAAACCATGGAGAATGGAGCTGAAGAAATCCAGAAACTTTGTAGAGTGCTTGGCAAGCTGATTCCTTCCAGACTGTGGTTGAATCGATTCCCAAAGCTCAGCACCTCGAGCTTACTTGGAAACAGCACGCCTTCCAGGCTTTGATTGTACCAAAAGCCAAAGGTCATGCTGCGAAGGCTCTCCGGAAACTTCACCTTCTGCAAGCCCTGGTTGAACTCATGCCCAAACGTCAAGGTTTCCTGGTGACTTTGCAGTCCGTCCGAACAAAAAATCTTCGTCACTTGGGATCATTGTACCTGTTTGTATCCATGTGTTCAGATGATTTCTGGGATATTGGGAATGACTAAGTGGAACAAACAGGCCACCAAGAAAACATCTTTGACGTTTCGAAGACCGCGTTTCAAGACATTCTGGCAGGACCACATTTTGCAGCCGCTGATTCCAGGAATCCGGCAGGGTCAAGTTTTTAATGCTGCGGGGCAAGGTGACGCCCTCCAAGCTTTGTTTGAACCTCATTCCGAAGACCAAATTCTGAAGACCCTCCGGTAACTTCACCTCACCAGGAAAAAGGCACGTACGTGCCGGGTATTGGTGGGAAAGGGAAGGTTTTGCAACCAAAGAATGGGGTGAATTGGGAAATTGCCACATTTGTTAAGGAGTTAACGAATGTTAACGAGCCAATATGAACAAGTCATGAAATAACAACTCTTTCAGTATTTGCTATGAATTCACATGAATTATGTAGCAAAAGATGTGGATCCAAATGGACACCCTTGCCAACAACTGCAGGTACTCTGTACATAATAAAAACAACTCCAGCAACTCTCGGGTTACGGCCAAACTTACATACTCGACAAAAACATCGAACAACAAAAATAGTTGGGTACAGTAGTACATACCGCCATGTATAACGTATCTGAAACTACTCTTAATGGCCTGAAATCCAAACATTGTTTTTCTTTTTTGTATTTACCCATAACACTTGATGGTTTGCCCCTCACCTTGTCGATCTTCTGGTTGAAACATCCACCAAATGTCAGGCTTTGCAGCCCTGCTGGCAACTCGATCCCTTCCACGCTCTGATTGAAGTTATCACAAAATGACAAGCTTTGAAGACCACCTGAGCACGCTGAGGGTCTGGAAGCCTGGAAACCACATGAAACATGAACAAAAATGGTGAAGATGTGATTCACCTTGACATACCTCAACCGAACCCTTGCTTCGCCTTACCAACCATCATTTATCCCGCAGGAGAATCCACTATCCTAATCACACGTCAATCACCATTGCAGCTAGGCTCTGTAGACAGTCTAGTCTATATTTCCATCTTTGGAGCTGAACCCCCATGTTTTTTTTGGGTAAAATCCCGATGTTTGCTACCAAAAAAACCAGATCTTCTTCGCCTTGCTACCCATGCAACATAATGCAATCCATAAAAACACGTGACGCAGCATGGAGAACATGATAAACGTGGGGTAACCGTGCCATGCCACCTGGAAGTTCCAACTCCCCCAACTGCATGTGAAAGAATCGCGTGAAGGGCAGCGTCAGGGACTTCACGCCGCTGGGCATGATGAGACGGCTGAGATTTTGGTCGTAGCAGTCCCCGAAATTCAACGTCTCCAGTTGCTCGGGCAAGGTGAAATCCAAAAACCTCCAAGGTCCGACCCAGGGAGTTGACCCGAGTTGACCCCAGGATTCTGTGGAAGCTCTGGGTTTCCTAGTTTCATGGCTGGCATCAAAGGTGGATTTTCCAGGTGAGATTTCCTCAGGGTAGTTTTTCTGGCCTTCTAATGCTTGATACAAGTCGGGATTCCCATGGTGGAGTACAATCATCCCCATTAAACATCATGAAACCAGCTAGTTCCTTTCCCCATCAAATACTCCCCATCCGCTTCCAAAATGAATAGATCCAAGTTTGGCTTGTTGGAGCAAACAACCCCCATATATGTGCCATGGCCAAAACACCGTACATGGGCTACGTTCATCCCAGCAGGAAATTGAGAATCCTAGATAATCCTATATATATATATATCAAAATATGTATGTTGAAATAATTCCAGCTTTTCATGGTGCTATGTTCATCTCCCAATTATAATAATTATATAGATCCGATTCATGGCTACATCGACTCCACCTTTTGATGCCACGCTGCCTGGCATCGAAATTCAACGTCAAGGTCTGGAGGCATGAGAGCTGCTCCAAATCCATCAAGCTATGCTTGAAGGCACGGCCAATCAGCAACCTGGCAGCCATTTGTTTGTTGAATGGAATGCTTAGAATCAATGATAGGGGAAACACTGATAAATGCTGGTTGAGTGCGATTTTTCCATCATTTCTTTATCATGACATGTATGCAGAAAGATCATGGTCTGGAGGACTTTTCAATAAATGAATAAAGTTTATAAAACAACATGCGTGTGTGTGTGTGTGTGTTCATGTGACTTTATGATAGTTTGAGGATGTTTAAGGTGTGCTTCTAGCTAGTCCCATGTGCTTACAGCAGAGGTAGAAAAGGAAAGCTTAGCAAGACGGTAGGTAGCCTTCAATCCCTGAAACAAGAAGATATTTGTATTTGTTGTCCTAATCAACCTTGGATGCAGTGGTCACACCTGATGAGGCAGTAGCTTGCACATTAGGCAACAATAAACTACAAGGACCTGAAAGCAAACCCATCAAAACAGCCAGGTAGAATTCAGTTCGGGAGAAATATACTGCAATGCAAAGTTTTGGCTATGAAATATTGTATTTAGCCAATGAATTAGAGCCAGAGATAATCGGAATTCAATTTTGACCGGTTGCGCCATACTCAAACGATAGGGTGGTGTTTGCTTCTTTGTTGCATGTCTTGAAAGCAAGCGTGAACAAGAGGAAACAACACTTTTGATTGACAGGAGAGTTCTTTTTTTGCCAAACCAGTGCTGGATCTTCTTGACAGAAATCCCTGCATTGTAAAGAGATATGGCATGTTTTGCACGGATAAGCATACTGTTCTCTTGAAAAATGGGGTGTTTTCATGTGTTTTCAGCTCAGTGTTTAAGAGCAACAGCAGGCTTTTCATGGAACATACTTTTTCATTGAGGAGACTGCGTTGTTTAAGAAATTTTGATGCTGTCTCTTCAAAATAAACTTGGATTCCTTTAAAGAAATGTTCCACATTTGAAAGGGGTTCACTCTTTTCCTAAGCAATCCTTCATACATCAAATGAAAAGTGCGTTTGCACTAGTTGAGAAAAATAATGTATATAATATATATATATATCAGTTATATGTGTATTAAGTCTTGTATTTAATTGAACACATATTTAATCAATTGATGAAGGCTATACTACACTGGTTTAAGGCATATTGCATCTTTTAAATTCTTACAGTTTGCTGACCAGAAGGTTGCACGTTCTGCAGAAAGGATTCAGTAGGGCAATGTGTTTGGAGGTTGTCTCTTCTGTGTATTTATGTATGTTCTATCTAAAAGAGGCATGGCTTTTGACTGAAAACAAATTGCAACACGGCAAACAAGATTGCACACCCCAAGTGCCTTTAAACACAGAGGGTTTGGTCCAGACATGTTGTTTTTCAATATTCTGTTTAGTGCCTAAAACCCTTTTGGAACAAGGAAACCAACCCAAATCCAGAAAATACACCACTTGGATGGGCCAATGGAGAATTCTGTTTTCTTTTCTTTGTTTTTTTCCAAGGTTTTTGAGGCTTTTGACAGTTCCCCTAGGTATTTGGCAGCTGAGCAGCAGCTGCGTCTATTCAAATCCGTTACAGACATGAACATTTCAGAAGGTCAGATCCATCAGAGTGCACTACCTCATGACATGTACATGAATTACAACACTATTTTTCAAAGGTAAAATCGCACTTTGGTGGCCTGCCGTTCTGCCTTTCATTTCAATAGTGGGGATATCATGGGATACCGCCAGCATGTGGACATAGATGGATGTAGCAGGTTTGAAACCCTACATAGGGGTGATAGGGAAACTACATGAAACTAACCAGTGGCTTTTCGGGTACTGTAGGCCCTAGTTTTAAGGTTTTAGTTTTAATGCTACAGTAGATGAGAACTGATCAAATGCGGGGCCCAGTCATCAGGGTAAAATCTGATACTGAAAATCGTGTAGAGACTTTGATTGAGGGAGAACTGCTATGGGGGTTTCTTAAACTGGGGGATCCCCAAAACCATGGGTTTCAAAACTAAAATTGCCTAATGACTTGGATGATTTCGGGTTACCCGCGGGTACCCCCCCATGACTTAGGATTCTCTTTATCCCAATAAAATCCGCAGATGTGGAAAGCGCAACCATCCACTGCAACCACGCTCTCTCGAATATCTTCCCCTTTGTCGGGCAAATCTTCATGTTTGTATTTGTGCTTTGTGGTTCTGGGGACCCATTCCAACAACAAATCACTAGCATTTCTGATGCAGGGAATCTGAGCCTTACCATGATGAAACATTCCTTTTGATTGCTGCTTGAAAATTGCGAGTCAACGTTTTTTGAATGATCCAAATAGTATTGAAAACTACCAGCAGTCCTCTACCATTCACAACGTCGCAGTGTAGCCATTTTGGTTGAATGAATTCCCAGTCTTTTGGCTTAAATTCCCAAAAAATCACCTACAGTTCCCTTCACCAAGGTTTGCCCAGCTCGATGACTCTATGATTTCAAGCGGATTCTCTTGCGTCAATTTGCTAATCTCTCCAGTCCTCTTGATGAAATCTCCATATCCATCATATCCAGAGTGGGCAAACAAAGCATCAGCTCAATCCAACTGACTCTCCCTTTCCTCAAAATTGTTTTTGAAAGATGTGCTTTCCCCTTGTAAACTTCAATTTCAGTGTTCCTTGCCTTGTTATTTTTCAGGGTAAAAACTCAATCAAACATGTTCATTTCCGTTTCAGATCCCTTTCACATCCCAAGTCCGGATCCTCACCTACTGAGTTTCACTATGATTCTCTTTTTCGAAGCTGAGAAAATCACCCAATCCTTCCTCCAAAAATCACCATCATCCCTCCAAAAAAGGCGGAACCACCAAGTGACTCTTCCAGCTTTGGAAAGCTGAGAAAATCCAACGGATGGTTCCAGTCGTGTCCAAATCTCAAGCTTCGCAGCTCTGGCAATTCCCCCGACAATGGCTGGTTGAAGCTTGGGCCGAAGGTCAAGGTGCGAAGCTGAGAGGAACTGAAACCTTTCATTGGAACAGGATTCCCCGAAGATTTCGAAGTTGTATTCATTTTTTGTTCCAGATTTCTATCGGCATTTCGTCAAGTCACAATCTTTTAGTTGTGATAACCCGGAAAGGTATTCCGGGACTTCCCCTCCTGAAACAGGCTCATTTGTGCCACATTTAGCTCCTGTCACATCGCGAGGAGCATCCAACAGTATGGGGTCGGGCCGAGTCAGATGGATTTGGGTCACGGCACATGGAGACAGCATCCCTATGTCCACGCGGGGTGGGTTTGGGCTGGGTTTGGGGTGGGGCAAACACTCTAATTTCCACTCCCATTGGGACTTGAAACTGTTGGCTGAATAAACAGATATGTTGATGGACCAAATTTGGACAATTCAGTTTGACGACAATGAGTTTGCAAAGGAAGGCTTCAGCAGGACAACGGCAATGAAGCAGCAATGGAAAGAGACAACAAACCAGGCGCTCACGAGCCGCACGTCAGGGGCCTAATGAGGACCTTTCCGTAAGATGGCTCAGTTGCTCTATAACTTTCCATGTGGTTGTTTATGATATGATTTTATTTATGTCATTTGCCTATGATAGCTTTGCTTATATCTTATAATGGCAAAGTTTTAGTTCAGTAAATTGTTTAGACAAATTATTATGATTCTTCAGGCGGATAGGTTTATAGTGATTCTGTAAACCAACTGGAGGCATCACTTTGTAGGGACGCACAAAGGACCATTTTTCCCAAAGAAGGAGAGTGGAAGCAAGCATTCATGGGACATGACAAGCATGGAGTAAACCACTAGAGGTTGGAGAACATCAATGGGGATAAAACCACTCTTGAGGGATGGAAACATATGACTAAACTATAGGAACACCCCTAATTAATCATCCATTTTAATTGGATTTTTTATTATATATAAACCATCCAGCTATTGGGGGTATCCCCATTTATGGAAACCCCTAAATATAACTAATGTAAAATATACTAAAATCAGCATCAAGATGCCATCCATTGGCTGGTTGAAGTTTGGGCCGAAGATCAAAGTTTCGAGATCAGTGGGAAGCTTTGTGCAATCCAAACGTTGGTTAAAGTCTGTGCCAAAGGACAAGCCTTGGAAAACAGCCGAAAAAAGGGAGTCGATTCCCAATTTCATGGATCTGGCTGAATCATAATCATCCACCAAGCCTGAAACGGGGGTGATTTTGGGATGAGTCCCGTTACCCTCTGGTAATTTAACGTAGCTATGGAAAATCACCTTTTTTAATGGGAAAAACCACTATAAATGGCCATTTTCAATAGCTATGTTAGTTTACCAGAGGGTACTATTTGGGGTGATGTGGTTGTGAAGTCGTTACAATTCAGCCAAAAGGATTGAACTACGGGGAAAATGAAACAGAACCTTCAGCCAAAATCCAAGAAGCTTTTCATCCCCCTGGGGAGTTTGGACGTGTCCAGTGCCTGGTTGAAGCTTGCACCAAAGGTTAAACTTTGAAGGCCAGCCGGAAACGACACCTTGTTGAGATTCTGGTTGAAGTCGTCACCAAAGGTCACATGTTGAAGATTCGAGGGTAAATTCACCCTGTCCAAGCTCTGATTGTATTTGTCACCAAATGTCAGGCTTTCCAGGCTCCTGCAAGTCGTGTCTGAGAAACCCAACGTTGAGGAGTGGTGACCAGGATAATCCCTGAAGTCTGCCTATGCTTTTGTACATGGGTTACAAATGATACTATATGAAATATCCAAAGACATCTCATTTCAAAGGGGCCATCCTACTCTTCATGCCGGGCCCTTGCTGTCCCCTTAACCCCAGGCTTCATTCTAAGATCCTCCAAAGAGCTTATGATGTCGCCATGAAATATTCCTGTTTAAAATTCGTTTGGGGACTCCACAATTACAACAAGTGCTTGGTTGGTACCCCCATGGAAGAGCAAGCGAAGTTGATTGTAGGTTCGTAAAACTCCCATGAATCCCATCCCTTGTTCATATTTAAACACCCCCATCCGTCCCAAATGAGTGATCTCATTCCCTACATCCACCGTGGTTTCCGGGCTGTGTTTCTTGTTTCAGGGGGAAGGGGTTGCAACTCAAAAAAACCCAAGTTTTTATATGGAGGTTTCCTAAAAGGGGGGTACCCCTAGTCATCATCCATTTTAGATTGGGATTTTCCATAACAAAAACCAGCTATTGGGGATCCCCCCATTTATGGACACCCCCCAAATCTTATGGCAAAATGCCTCCCAATTCGCCCACCTTGGCAGATGCACGTGGTCCAATCTCTGATCAAAGACGTGTAGCAGAGTGAGATGCCGCAGTTGGCTCGGGAATCTCACACCAACCAAAGTCCTCGGACACTGCTCCGTTGAACACCCCAAAAATCGCCGGGCCGGCGATAAGTTGAGTTGATACTGTGGATGGAAGAAATCACCAGTTGATAGGTGGTCTATCATGGTTTATCCATGTTTATCCCATATTATTTATAGGTTTTCAACCATCCTTTTGGTGGTGCAGGATTTCGCAGCCATCCACAGTAGTGCACTTGATATATTTGTTGACTTCTAAAGTTATTTTCCAACTTGATACGCTTTGGCCGCTTTGGTCATTGAGCGGTTTGCCATGGAAAATAAGTGAAACAAATGGGCCATCTATATCAACCACCTTGGGCTTTGTTGATAACTGGGGAATTTACTCGTAATTTTATGGCCATTGTAAGGGGAACAATAAACCCCGGAGAAATTGTAGACATAGAGATACGTAGAGTATGTTTATTCGCAATTGGTGCTGTTCTAAATTTGGGTCGCGTTCAAAACTGACCAAAAAAGAATGCGAATCTTTCGCATCAATTCCACGAGAGAGGTGGTGGATTTCAGCAAAACCCTTTCGCATACCTTGGGTGCTGGGTTTGTTTGAAAAGACTTGGAAGAACGGTACCCCATGGTACCCCTATATCCGATATTATCCGATGATTGATCATCACTTTCCAACCAGCCCGGCTGGTTAGGGTCACGCTTTCGAGAAAATTTCGGCCAAGGTTCTCGTTGAACATGGGACCAATCCTTGGAGTTGCTTGAGAGGGCTACAATAAACCTCTCAGATATTCCCAGTAGAAAATCATACCCATATGCTCCATGTATGGAATATTTACCAACATTTGCCCTAAAAATCACCCAAATGTAGGTACAGGTAAATATACCATACATGGAGCATCTGGGATACTATTAATTACTCCCAATTTCTGGTAGATTAGACGGAAAATCATCGAACGTCATCGAAAATCTCTCAGATCGAGCTCCAAGATTCGTCAAGCTTCGCAAGCTGCGAGGAAAGCATTCGAAGTGCTGACGCAACGAAGCTCCCTCCAGTTCCGTGAGCCCATCGAGGGGAGACTCTTCCTTTCGCGGCTGATCTGAGGATATCTGAGGCCATGTTTGATTGTTTTTGTTCATGAGGAACATTTTTCTGGTGAAGTTGGCGATGAAAAATTATCTAGAATCTAAATATATCTAAATGATCTCCCATTTGTATCCATTTGTTCAATAGGAATCATCGAATCGGTGAAATCAATGCTTCCAAGTACATCATTCATTCATATTGGAAAAATAAAAGTGCACCAACCTCAAGAAAAACCAACACAAGTCGCAGTTTGTCCGTCAAATCTCATAGTTTCTTTACGCTTCTTTCAACCCGCCTTTTGGGCATTCTTTGGGCAGAGTCCACATCTAAGAACTTAAATAAATAAATTTATGTACCCATTCACATGACCTGAAAACTGGAACTTCTTAACCGCATATCACAGATTCCTGCATCAAAATGGCCTTCATCAACGAATTGCCAGTTACCCCATTTTTGTCATGCGATGTCCCCAAACAAATCACCAGGATTTTTATCGCACGGCCTGCAACTGTGACTGCGGGTACGTTCCATGGAATACCCTCCAGGCTGTCATGACGTCAGTAGACCTGACCAGTCCATGAGTGGTCAGATGGGCTTTTTAAAGACCTGTTGATCCAAAATGACCCGTTGATCACTAACCCAAAGTTGGTACCCGACATGGTTAGTTTATGTCTTAGTTTCCCCTGTGAATCGGGGACACTAAAAAAAATGGGGACTCACCACGCCTGGTTGAGGATGCAACAAAAAAGTGGTCGGTAGGTCTGTCTGAAAATGGGAATTCGCCAACAAATCATGTTTCAATTGAGGAAAATTGAGGTTTTCAAGCATCAAATTTGAGTCCCTGAATTCAGACAAACCCAGGTTGAGTCTCAGCCCAAGCTTTTGCAGAAGAAAACATCTACTTATCTACCAACAGAATGCAGGTGTCCCATGAAACATGATGGGAACGTTAGAGATCGGCTGTTCAGGTATCGATTCTTGGGCCCCGACTGTTACATGTCCAACCAATGATAAAATCTGCCACAAAAAATGGAAGCATTGTGGAATTTCCCACCATTCTTTTTGGAAAGTATTCACAATACGGAATTGCTGACAATCATTGTTGACAATTAGTTCTGGGCAATAGATGGCGCCATTCATGGTATCCGAAACATTCCCAACTTGGTAGCCTTTCAACCAATCCGATGGATGGATTTCTTCCAATTTGCCAACGTCCCCTTTGTGCGTGGCATCAGTGGTCACCAAGCCCAAGTTCATGGTGTATCACTATATTCCTCACCATGGCCATGAGAGGTTTCTTCATTTTTGAACAAGCCATATTATCGTTGGTTGTATGTATATATATATAAATTATACTGTATATATCTCCCTTTCATCCCCTTTCTGTCCCCTTCTCTCCCCATGAATTGGTTTGAACACATCATTGTTGTGTTTAGACAAACCCCCTTGGCCCACCTGAAAGTACAGGAAAGAGTGGGATTCTCATCGAGACCAATTCCTTGTTGTAGTAAGGTGCGTCCCATCACGAGCCTTGACTCCTGCTCGTAGGAACAAGGGCAATGGAAATTGCAATCTTGGCTTTTGGGTCGCCCAAAAAAACAGTATCCTGTCTATGCACCATGAAGACCATAGCTGGAAAACCCTTTCACATAATGACTGCCCGCAGATGAAGTTCATGCAGTCATAATGGGTTTGTCTGAAATGGCCATAAGTTGAGGTATACATCCCTCAGTGTTGAACAAATTCGCATATATGCTATATTGTATGAGTCCATAATGATTGGTCTTATACCACCATTTGTTGGTATCATATTATGTATATGTTCAACATCTTAACGTCAATGATATCAGAACTATATCGTTGAACTTTTGACCCCGTTATCCCAGTAGATTGAGCCAAGAAATACCTCCATCCCATCCCATTCTACTGATTGGGTAGTAAATACGCCCAAATCATGGATGTTCCATTCATTTCCGTGAGCAAATCAGGTTTGTCAAAAACCTTATCCAATACATATATAACATTATATAAGCAACCCAAGATGAACCTTAGTTTTTTTTCAAATTCCATATTATTCGTTGTCTTATGACAATTTTTCCACAATTGGAGGTTTCCTATAACATGGGGGTACCCCAGAAACCATGGGTTTCAATATTTTCAATACTGAAATGGTCCTGACTTGGATTTGGGGTCCCATTTTAAGAAACCTCAATTGGAAACAAGGCTAGAACCCGAACTAATTAACCAACAGGGTCTCCTTCCAGCAGCTTAGGACACCATCCCTGTGGTCCGTCCCGGGACCCACCGCGCCTTGTGCGTCAGCACGAGCCCGGCACCGGCCTTGGGCGGCACCTTCTCGCAGACCAGGCGAAAGAGCTCGCGGCCCAGCGCCGAAGCGCGACAGGACACGGTAAAGCCTTCACCGTTCCTGGGTCCCAAGATGGGGCCCTGAGTTAGGCTCTTATATGAGACATGGCACACTTAATATATATATATATGGGATATATATATATTATATGTATTACATATGGGATTTAAACAGTAATGCAACCAAACCAATACAGCGATATAACCGATCCAGTTGGGGAATGTATGCGATAGATACAAGTATTGACAAAGGTTCTCACCAACAGTAAAACTTCAGATTCAACCAACAAAAACTGGGATGGCTTAAAATGATTGACCGTAACTGTGGGGGTGGTTCTATGCGAAATAAGCCAGAACAAGG